AACTGCAGACTCTTCCCACTGAATGGTTCATGCCCTGTATAAAAGTTAGGCTGGCTGTGTGGTTACAGTGCACTTTTGCCTTCGCTTAAAGCACTGTGCATTAGCTGCTGTGGGAGGTTCAGAGGCAGGAATAGACAAGCCTTTGATCTGGTTAATCCCAGCATGTGGTCTTTATTTCGCCTTCGTGCAAGTATCTCCTGTAGCTCTGACTCCTAGCTGAGCAGCCCTCTTGCGCTGGGGCTTGCTGGAAGCAAAGTGTGTAGCTCCATGCCTCCCCAGAATTATTTCCTGGAGGGACAGAAATTACGAGAGGTTGGCATCAGTGGAAGCATCACGCAAGACAGAAAGGGTGATGGCTCAAGCCTCATGTCTGTGAAAACACATGTTTTCTCTGCACTCATTCCATAGATGAACTTAACTTCTGGGTCTGTAATTAACTTTTTTTTTCCTTTGTCTTAACAGTATGGCGACGTGCTCAATTTGCTGATCTCGAGTAGGAAGACTGGGAGTGCAGTCGTGGAATTTGCTACGGTTAAGGCTGCTGTAAGTCAGGTGGAGACCCCAGATGTGTGTGCTGGAGAGTGGGCAAGGAGGGGTGCTGCAGAAGGGAAGGGTTAGCAGACTGATGGCCTGGAGACGCTGCCTTGTCATTAAGGCAGTGGGGAAAGGGTAATGAGAGTCTGAAGGTAGAGATGCATGAAGGGAGTGGTGAAGCTGGAGGCATAAACCCAGGGCAGATCATGCGCATAAACAAGCAGGCTGCGCGTGTGAAAGGCTGAGGAGAGAGACGCTGCTTCAAAAAGCAGGCACTGAGCCATTAAATCAGCTCTCCCTGATGGTGAATTACCTGGACAGGCTGGAGGGGTGGGGTCATGGGAACCTCATGAGGTTCAACAAGGCCAAGTGCAAGGTCCTGCCCCTGGGTCGGGGTAACCCCCGGTATCAGTACAGGCTGGGGGAAGAAAGGATGGAGAGCAGCCCTGCCCAGAGGGACTTGGGGGTGCTGGGGGATGAAAAGCTGGACATGAGCTGGCCATGGGCGCTGGCAGCCCAGAAGCCAACCCTACCCTGGGCTGCATCAGGAGAAGC